CAATTTTTATTATTGATTTATTTCTACTTAAACAGTAGTAAGATACAATTACCTTCTTATTGTTAGATTTCTCAATCGAAAAAAATGAATAAATAACCAACAATTAATATCAAATTACACTTTATGTAAGATTAAAAACAGACAAATCCGAATTAGTATTATAATAAGAAAAATTTATATATTAATCTAAATTTAAAATAATCATTTTTTGTGTGTGACAATAATTAACGAATTTTTTTTCTAATATTTATAAAAATTATTAAATTGAGAATAGAATAATTATTAATCAGTATTATGATTCAAAGGTGTTGTTTAAATACAAAAATCGTTATCAATAATCTTTCAGTAAAAGTTTAAGAGAAATGGTCTTTTTTTTTCAAGACTTTCTGCATTTGTTCATCGAATACGACTATATACGTGTCTGTTTCCTAAAGTTAGGGATTATGTCAATATGTATGTGGACAGGCACCTCAATATTCTGTAGGTTATCCGCTAAGAAAGTTTTCCGATTCATCATCGGTGTTTCTCTTGACGTGAGCAGGTTACTCTTTCACATTTTGGTGAACTTCTATCAACGACCTGACTGCAACAGCCTGTCGAACAAATAGCATCACAAAACTGGACGGACCACAAAACTACAATTTATTTGATTATTTTCTTTTCTCGATGTGCTGTAATAATTTTTTCTTCAATCTTATAAACAGACAAGAGAAATAATTTTTTGAAACGTCGAATAAACCATATGACTTTTAATCCATGATTTCCGAACCTGATTTTTTCCATTAAAAATTTATCTGACGAACAATAGCTCAGATTACGATAAATGGTTAGTTAGTAACTTTTGGCTAAATCTAGATAAATTATGTTTTTATCTTAACCTTTGAATGATGAAAATTTCATAATTAACGTACTTCGAATCCTTTTGCTATAATTTTTTTTTTCATTCGTTCCCTCTGTTAAGAAAATTAGTCATATTATTTTTAAACGAATTTACCTACATTCAAATGACTAATTTCATAATTTCGTAAAATATAATTCAACGCCTATGATCTTGCTATCTCTTTTCTTTCTACGTAAAAACTTTGAACGTCAGTTTTTCCAGTCTTTTCTTTTATTTCGTCCTTTTATCTCTCCATTTCAAAACGTTCTTTTTCTTATTTGAAAAATTGTCGAAACAAGAAATCTACTTCAAGAAGACACAGCCGAGTATAGTCACTTATTTTTTTTTCCGTACAATATTGTAAGTTTCTCGTTTTACGAATGTTTCTAATGAATTAATCGAAATAATAAAGTGAAAGTAAATTTGTTAAATCTAGAAACTTTTGTTCTCTGTTGAATAAAAAGAAAGAGATCAAACGTAAAAATTTACTTGACTTCGCATTTTTCGTATATGACAGTTTTTATAATACTTTAGAAAAACGATGAAAAGAATTTTTATTAAAATTAAATGTAACCAATTATATGTCTATCTTTCATTTTCTTCGTTACCATTTTGTATTAAGATAAATAGAAAGAAAATTGTAGCTTTTTCCAAACAAAAAATATTCTTCAGCTTTGTAACTTGGTAACATTGCAATTACTATCGATCGATCTACGAATTGTTCTCTCGATACCTCAATGAAAGTGCAACTACGTGCGAAAAAAATAAAGAAATAATTGAAATAGAAGAAAAAGAGCGTTAAAAGAAAATGGAATTACGTTAGATTGACAGATGGGTAAAAGCCGTAGTAGCAATGAATGGACGTGTTGGTACGGCTAACATGAAAATGATAGATGCGAAATGGCCTACGGTGTGACACGATTTGTTCTATACCTTTTCAATGAAACAAATAGGTGTGTAATTTAAAGCATTCGATCAATTAGTTTCAATGGATCGAAAACGTATTTTCTGACTCATCCTATTTTTTATTTTTCTTTCGCAAAATGTATAACCAATTCGAAATCATGACACGTAAAACATTTATCGCAGTTATGTTTTTCAAAGTTAAAAATTGTTGAAATAAATTACAAAAGTTTAAATGAAAACTTAAAGGATATAAACACAAATAAAAGAATATACTTTATAAAGAAATTACATGATCGAATAAAGTAAAATGTGAAATGAGAGTAATTTTCATAGAGTTCCACTTTATAAGGAAGAGTCATACTTTTGCAATAGGGTCAAAGGATGGAAGAATTTTAATTCGAAAGTACCGAAAGGATGAAAGGATTGACCGAAGAAGTAATATTATTAACGTTACTAACGAGAAAGGAAAAAGTAAAGAAAGAATGAGAGAGATACAAGACTAGGTAATAACTAATGCAAGTGAAATTCAAATGTCTAGCCACACAGAGATTTGATTTGTTTCTGGAATACGAATGTAAATCTTTGGTATCGTTAGTGGCCTTGGAAACTAGCTATCTAAACATGACTTGCATCTCAAGTGAAATAGCCATTTACTGTCTGAGTTCTCGAGAATATCTATTTCTTCTTCTTACTCAGAATCAGAAAATAATGCACCGAATTTAGAATCATGACTGTGCTACCCGAACCACTCCATCACGAACTTCTTTCATAAGAAAATCAATATAAGAGTAAAAGAAATCTAACAATTTTTCTACGCAACTTGATACCGTCAATTATTATTTCAAATTGAAAAAAAAGCGTTCATATATTTTTGTCACAACAATATCATCGTATTTTCATTTAAAAGATTTCAAATAATTACTTTTGGATAATTCGACAGCACGATTATTCGTATTACCGCCATTCATAATTAAAATATGTTCAATTGTCTAAAGAAATTAAGATCCCGAAAGTTAGCTTTCGATAGTTTTTCTTCTTTATCTTTTTTTTTCTTTCTCCAAGTGAACACCTCGCTAAAAATGGTTCACGTACCGAACAAGAAAGGAGCATAAGCTAAAATTGAAGAGGAAACTTTCATAAGGCTCCAATTCAAAAGTTCGAGACGAGTCTTTCCTCTCGTCTTTACCAATGTTCTTAACTCCCTTCTACTTTTACTTCATCTTCTTAGTCTTTTTCTTTTCCTCTTCACGTTTCATTTGACTCTTAAAAAGATCCTTGACATCAAAGACTACTCGAAGCGAAATTGAAGAAAACAATCTTTTGATAGACTTAAACGATGAATGAATCGTCGCCTCCGAAAATTAAATAAAGTTTACAAAAAAAAAGTGAGAAATGCGACCTGATTTTTATTTTTTTATTCTATATACATACATATTTTTACAATTAATTTTTCTTAATAAACATAATTCTTTTTATAAGAAAATAAAAAAAAATATTATTTCTTCCGATAAAAAAACAAAGACATTTATATATATATATATCATGTTTATTTCTAAATAAAGTATTTTGCGTATAAGAATAATGTTTATTACGAAAATGAAAGCTGTCGAATAAGTATGATCAAACTTTCGTAATAGACTTTGAAGTTACGTGACGAGGATTTATGACGAAAAGTTTGAATAGTTTCCGGTATAAGTATGAAACTGTTCTTACTAATTACTACCAGGAATGCAATATTTTTAAAGGACAAAAAATAAACCTTGATATTCGAAAATGATTGTTCGTAATATTAAAGCAGAAAAGTTTTATTTTCAAAGAGTAATCTCTTGACGTTTTATAACTCTTTGATTAAAGCGTAATAATCGAATAGAATTGTCTTGCCTCGATAGAAAAAATTCAACAAACATAACCAAAGAACGACAAATGGTGATCAATAAAAGTCTATTAACGAAAAAATGCATTAAAATTTAACTAGTTGCATGGGAATAAACCCTTAATAGTTGTGTACGTGGGTATTCATGCGTTTTTGCAGAAAATATTTCACGAGTATACGAAATATTCAATGAATACGAGTTTTTGATATATGTTGTACGAAATAATACTGACAAAATAATAAATAATATCTGAATGAATCGAAAAACAAAGAGAAAATGAAAATCATCAGGAAAAGATCAAAACAATTTTCTTCTTTGCTTAAGTCATTTGAGCGAATGGTATCAAAATTGATAATTAAGAAATTATTAAAAGCACAATAAATCATATTTTCAATGACCAATACAATTCTTATTGTCTCTTTTTTTCTCTCTCTCTCTCTCTCACACACACTCTCCTTCCTTCTTTATGTTTCGCTTAACACGAAATGTATTTTTCAATCGGTAAGTTTTATCACTCCAAGCAAAACCAACAATGGTGAGACAAATGTACTGACAAAACTTTCATCGGTTCGACAGTAGAGAATTGTTTTTTATTTTTTTTTTTTTTTCTTTTTTTATTATACTCTGTGTATCCCCAAAGCGATAGCGAAAGAGCCGTGAAAGTTCGTATCGAACGGGATGTCGATTTTGAACACGCATAGGTAACTTTTTGAAGAATTATCACTCGTCTACAAGCTGTCCGATGGTGTGAAACTTTTTGCTCGAAATAAAATTGCAATACTAGATCGAATAAGTTTTAAGAACGAAAATTAGGAAAACTTATAAATCATACATTTACAAATATTCGCGCGATAAAATAGTAATCTTTGAAAATAGGAAAAATTAAATCTCTTGTTGAATTCTCATTATCGGGAAAAAAGTTTTCTAACCAAAAAACACGAGGTTGGTCATGCGCGAGCCCACGCGTTACCCACGTACCAGCAAATTTCCCTGAAAATCGGCTGCAATTCAATTCGCTTGTACGTCGGCCATACGCAAAACTAGATTTACAATATGCGTGTTGCTGTGAAACACTGTGAATAGAAAACTATTGGAAGAAAGACAAAAAATCTAGTCTAACGATAAAGTGAATAATATGATAGAGAAAAAAAAAAAAGATAAATCGAACATTTTCCCATCTACAGAATTTAAATATTTGATTTTCATAATCGAATATATAGTTGGCACAAAATTATTACTTATATAAAAGTATTAGCAGTTTTTAGTTCAAATCTAATCTAACAAACTATGAATAACAAAGAACAACCGGTTTTTATAAAATAACTTTTGAAATGTTTCAGTTGCTGGAGCATCCGCAGAGTCGACGCAGGATAAAAAGGATTCCATTTTTTACGTTAACGTACAAAGGATTACAAGTAGATCGTCACGTTCCGTCTTGTCATCATCTTCATCGATGTCCTCATCTTCGACATCGATCTCATCCTCCTCCGAAAGGACTCTCCAAAGGATTTTTCAAACGACACCCTCGAGCAACGTCGATAATTCCCAGATATTTGGATTGGTTCATGGATCCTCGAGGATGATGCCGAAGGAAAATTCGGAAAAGACACAAACGACTATCCGTCTCAAGCAACCTGCTTTTACCGAATCATCCAAAAATTTCAACATTACCATAATATCAGCGGAAGGAACGTCAAACGTTTCAAGAAACGTGTCAATCATTTCTACGATGACTAATGTAAGTAAACTTTTTACATTTATAATGCAATATAATAAATTAATATTAAATGTATGAGAAAGGAACGATATAACACGTTTTAATAGATTTATTAAATATTCATTAAAAGAGATAGTATTTATTTAGACATGAAAATATTTTTATGAATCTGTTCAATTAATTGTTAGATTATAATAAATGATATTGAAAAATTGTTTTAATATTCTCGCGAATATCGCGCGTTCAATCGTATTTTATAAATAATATAATTTCTTTTAATTATTTTATTGTGTAATATTATGACATACACTAGGTTGAAATAAATTTTATAATATAAATATAAATAGTATTCTCGTATAATTAATTATATAAGATACGAAAATAATATTAAATGATCGATGGGAGAATAAATGGTAAAGTTTCAATTCGTTCTAGTCGAGAGTTCGCATGGAAAATTTTGCCATTTCCATAAAACGTTGAAACGCGATTGAAAAATCAAATAGTTGAAGAAGATCTTGAAAGTCGATATCGAGTGTACTATTCTCGTAAATTTAAAAACCCTTATCGAATGACTTTTATTTGTGTAAATAAAGCTACATATATGTAAACTATTGTAGTAGCTACGTGTGCCGTAGGCCATTCTTTATTGTTTCTCGACTAGTTGAAAAATTCAAAAAATAATATCAAAGAAAAGAAAAATAATCACGAGTCTTTCCAAGTTAAAACGTGATATGTAAGATTAATGTACAATGTTGAAAATATTTTTAATAATAAAAATGTCAATTTCAGAAATCTCGAGAAAACTCTAACATCTTTGATTAAACCGATCACTTGACAATACATAATAGATATTATATAACATATATGTATTATATCTACAATATATATACATAATATTATATATCCAGATACACCTGAAGCTCGACAATTTCGAACCATATCTATTAGCAATAAGGCAAACTCATGACAATATCTATAATTTAACACTATCGATACACCTACCTATCGCCCACAGCTTCCTCCCATTCGAGTTTAATTAATGACCTGACATTTGTATATTTGTAGATTGCAAGTTCATTTTACGTAATTAAATGGTAGAAACACACTGGCGGACTCTCGATTTTTGATTTATTATGAAAGACTCTGTTCAAAGCACTAGCCAATTTAGTAATCAAGTCAATTCATTCATTAATTGATTAATATAAATGTGTAGAGTAGACTTGTCTCATAAATTCTAAATACATAATTCCATTTTATATTAAATCAAGATAGTTACCAATAAATCGTTCTTTCTTTTTAATTTTACAGATAGTCCCAACTACTGAGAGTCCAAGAGTATTAGCAAAAGTATCTTTCAGGACAACAAGCACACCGATGTTATCATCGTCGAAGGATGACACATTTCGACGTCGAAAAATGAGAAACGCCGCGGACAATTGCGAAAAATTCTTAATCGGCGATGAAACTAAAAGAGAATTCTACAGTCCCAATTATCCTAATCATTATCTAAATCATACGGAATGTATTCGAGTTCTCGAAGGTAAGTTGAACTAAACCAATAAAATATCCTCCCCTCCCTCCCTCCCTCCCTCCCTCAAAAAAAAGAAATGAAGAAGAAGAAAAAGAAAGTAAAACTTTGGAAAAAAAATAATATTATTATTCCCGAGAAGAAATTGCATTAAATAAGAAATTAAAGAGATTCTTTCCCGGTCCCCTATTTTCGATTACGCAACTTGTTTGAAATGTTAAAAGTTTGTAAAGACAATCGAGCTGGAGAAGTATAATCTACATAAAAACATAGTAGGAAAATCGTTTTACGATTCGCTTTCTATACGATTACGTTCAGCCGAGCGGACTATCTCGATTTCAGTTTAGTACCGTGCTACCGAGTGAAGGAACATCGATAATGTGCTAAAAAAGGAACAAACGTGTTCAAAAGACAAACTTACTCTTATACCCTCTTCCGTCGAGGGACGAAGCTTTGATCTTAGATTTCTTCGAATCTTCGTATACTTTTATGTTATCTACTTTGAAAATAACCTTACAGGAAGTTGAAAGATCCCAAAGAATCAGAGTGCTATTTTATTTAATTTTCTATTGAAAGATTAATCGTGTTTGAAGAGAAAACATAGGAATTTATACATCATAAATTAGAACAAAGGTACTTGATCTTTTTCCTTCGCGGGCCACACATTGGCGTTGGTTGAAAAAAATCTTTAAAAAAGTGAACGAAAATCATAGGAGAGATGTAAAACAATAGGCGTATTTAAACATTAATATAATCCTTGTGATGTTTGGTATTGTTTAACGGAGTGATCGGTCCTCAATGTAAGAGGATTGTGGTGTGGGGTTCAATTATACAGGTCAATCAAGTTTGACTACTAAAAAAAAAAAGGTAAATTCATGACTGGATGTTTCGGGCTTGCCGAAGATCGCGGGTTGAGTATGACTGAATTAAAGGAACTAGTTTCATCAAGCAACTTTGTTATTCATGACACTAGTGACAAGTGACTAGTAATAAAACTTTGGAATTAGCTTATACTAAAATAATGCTTATCATCCCTGCTGGAAATTCTCTATCCTTATCTCTATTTATCTTTTTAATGATCGTTAATCATATCCAACGCGAACCAAGGAACGTTTCATATTTGTTTTATATTTGATATCCCAAATAAAATGTTAAAGAACTTCATGCTCATATGATATTCTAATAAACGATGGATACGACGATAAAGAAAACTGTCATTTTTTCTTTTTATCGTCGTGCTTTTGACGAAATAACGAGCACAAAGTAAAATATTGTTACAAATCGTTTAACGTTCTCCAGTTGAGCTGTTAATCATTCGTCCAACGGTAAAACACAAATTCAACGTAAACTCTGGATATTTCGAGCTGGACGTAACTTTGAAAAAAGAAAATCTACCCGGTGATTCATAGATGCGTATATACGAGCGTACGACGACGTTTAAATAAATTGTCTTCGTTTGAAATTTTTTATACGGACCCACTCACGAATTCCACGCATATTTCCAACATTTTGATCTAATTTATCATTTTCATATATGTTCGAATTTATAAAAATATAAAAAGAAAAAAATTCTACTTGCCCTTTCATTGAAATAGATTACTACCCTTACGCGTTCGTTATCGTGACAAATTCTTCGATTCGAGTTATTCCTGAAGAAAAAAGGATAAATTTTTCAGTAGACTCAGTGAAATCATAAATCATTGTAACATTCGATTCCGTACGGTCCGATCGAGACAGTGTGAATGTTCCGATAACAAAGCGATTTATCGAAAAACTATAGACGACACTGTTATATCTTGTCGAACAAGAAATATCTTCCTTTTTCTCATAAAATAAATGTCATGTATGACCAAATAAAAAGTTGTCGATTTTTTGTAAATAATTAAATTGTCCAAATATAAAATTCATCATCTCGAATTTCTCAAAATATTTAATTTTCCATATAAATAACTAGATAAATAAAAACGATATTATTAATGATATTAATCATATTATATGATACAGATAAAAGATCATTTATTATAATATAAATCTTCATTGTTTCAATCTCTGCAGTTGATTCAAACGCTCCCCTATGACCTGTAAATTTATGCTGGAACAAGAAAAGATAGTTGGAAAGTTTCCTTTAAAGTTTCCTAATGTAGGGTTCGTAAGTCTTCGATATGAATTTAAGTGTCTCGGTCTCGAAAAATAGCTTTAAAGAGAAAATTTCGATTCGCAAAGTTAAATCGGTATTTTATCTTCTTGAAGCAGCTAGAGCCGCATGAAAAAAGAAATGAAAAGAAAAGAAAAAAAAAAAGGAAGAAAACAATAACAAATAAAAGAAGCAGAAGCAGAAGAAGAAGAAGAAGAAGAAGAGAGTTAAGATAAAAAGAAAATAAATTAAAAAAAAAAAAGAAAAAGAGAGAAAAGAAGATGGTCGTCTTGTTTTCTAAATCTTTCGATAAAAAACTTTAGCCCATGTTAAAGAAGTATAGAAGAGAAGCGATGGTGAAGTCCCCTACTTTATCTGAAAATTAAATGATAATAATGACGAGGAGGAGAAAATTCTCGAGAATATAATTACCCTCTATCTCTTTTTATATCTCTTCTTCAAAATTGCATTCATTACGAATATCTTCCTCCCTTTTTTTTTTTTATTTTTTTCTTTTTCTTCATTATTCTTTTCTACTTCATTTTCGAATAGTAGATGTACCAAGAGACAGCAGCACAGATTTGAGAAAATCTCATTAGTCGTAGTGATATTTTGGAAACCGTTACACGAAGCTCAAGATGCACCGGATCGAGCTTTTACGAGGGCATCTAGATCTCGTTCGAATTTGAGTCAGGGTCGAGAAGTCTTGTACGAGTTCTCTTTCTCTCTCTCACTCTCTCTCTCTTTCAAAATGTATGAAATCTTCTGACTACGAAAATAGTAGCGCCGATGCTTAAGAATCTCGATCGAATGTTGCGAATGGTAAGCTGCTTTTGCTACCTCGTGCACCTTATAAATATCGTCAGGAAAATTCGTTAAATTCCAGCTCGCTCGCGAACGATCATTTAAACGATAAATTATATTTATAAATTAAGAATTTTTCGATTCATTTATTATACTTATAATTTGTGTCTATTAAATACGAATGATTAGAATATCAATGATGATAAATTTCATTTTGTAAATATATCATATTATTAATTACATTAGCGTTGAGTTAATTAATAATAATATTGCATATTAACGTTTTCCTTTTTCTCCGTCACATAATTTTTCATTTTAAACAAGAGTTTAATTAATTCGGAGAAAAAGATCGTGTTTGTCAATTAAAACGAGCTCGCCCTAGAAAGCCAAACTGTCATCGTTTCGTTGCAACATTTTTATTGAAACAAAAGAATTTACTCTTAGCGAGCAAAGATGTTGATAAAATTGGTTATCAATGAACGACAAGTCTTTAACACGTAGTATATATTTATCATAACTCGTTTATTTCGTTTATTTTTCTATATAGTGACGAACGGCTACCGTCATTAATTCGATTTTCCTGCAATTTGTCGGATTCGGATTTTAATTTGATTCCCCTCGCAGCAAAGCGTACCAATTCAGGGCGCATTCGCATACGCGAGCAGGCTTTTAATGACGGTTCCGATAATAGAAGCCTTCAAAGAGCTCCAATGAAAACGATGTATAGCATTATCAGTTCGCGTAATCGCGAGAGTTTATTTTTTTCTTTTCTCTCTCTCTCTTTTTTTCTTCTTTTCGTTACTCTATCCATCCAACAAATTCAATGCCACCATTAAGCTAGGCTTAATACTCCGTTCTCTTTGGCATACTTGTTCGTTAGTTATCAATCGAACATACGTGCTTTTAACGAGCATCTTTTTTTTTTGCAATCAGGCGATAATTTAAAAAAACGAAAAAGAAAAAAATACAGAAAGTGAGAAGGAGAATATTAGAGTGAAAGAAAAGGAGATTAGAAGAAAAGAATGGAGGAAGAACAAAAAATGGAACAAAAGGAGGAGAAGAGATGCAAAAAAAAAAATAAATAAAAAGAAATAAGAGAATGAGAATAGAACGAGTGGGCAGAGTGCCATCCATTGCACCTTAACATCACCTCACCTTTTTTTTTTTTAAGGCAAGATCGTCTTGGTTTTTATTCGGCTTCAACTACATTAGGCATCAACCTTCCCCAAATACCTTTATTACCACGATGATGTCTACGCATTATCGCGTGATATTTATTACATATTTTTGATCATATAAAAATAAATAAGAAAATCGAATTATTATTTTTATAACATGTGCAATAAAAATTTTATATTGACCAACTTGATCGAAAAATAAAAATATACGTATATAAAACATACGATTTTATATCTACATTTATGTGTGATTCATATAAAAAAAAAAAAAAATATTTATAAAAAAAATTTACGACAAGCGTATGTTTTTAATGATACTGATAGTATAAGATTAATAGGGGAAAGTATGAAAATGAAAAGGGAAAAATTCCAAGAAAGAGAATAAGTCATTGTCAGTTAAAGTTCCCACAAACACGCTAGTACATAGGCTTGATGCCATAAGTGGCTTTGTTAAGATAACTCGTTTGTCAGAGGACAATGGCGGCCATTGCGAATGCGAGAGGTAATTACGGTGTATTAAGGACCGCATGTAAATTACGTCAAGTAATTATAGCCGTCGTGGAGGTAGAGGCATAGGATTAAGTAAGTTCCACCCTGGAACCCATCGAAAGCACCCTTCTCAACATCCTATCCTACCTCTTATTCACCCATATCTAATCCTTTCTTTTCTCCCTCTACGAAAGCACGTAGGCTACTCCTTGAATTCTCACAAGAATTCGATTTTCTACCCACGCCAAACAAGATTCCTTAAGTAGATCCATTTTACGAGATTTTAACTTTAGGACTTTTCTATCAAGATTTTTTCTTTCTTTTATTTTATACTTTGCTTCATTATTTTCATCTTCTTTTTCTTCTTCTTTTATTAGATTTCAAAGCCAATAATATTACATACCAAC